GCCGCCAGGCCCCCGCACCCGTCCCACCCAGACCAGCCCTCTGGGGATGGGGCAGCGCAGGGGAAAGTCTGTATTTTTTAACCACAGAGGCCTTTTCCCAGGGCACCAGGCTGGCAGCGCGGCTGCCTCCTCCCTGCCAGGTATCGGCGCGGTGCACGGCCAGGGACTGACTGCCCTCCAGCCTCCCCGAGCGGGCAGCAGAGGCAGATGTGTGCACAGGTCAGAATTTATTTCCAAATACCTCATTTATATCATTCTCACATGAAATATTTCTTTCGGAATATAGCCTACACTTAGAAAACAGAAGAGAGGTTTTTTTTTTTTATAAGGCACATCAGATTATAGACTACATAGAGACATCTCCCCCTCACTTGCGCTCGTAAAATACTGGTGATTTTAAAAGTAATATTTCTAAAACCTAGACCCTGTGTAGCCCCGTGTAGAGCAGTATTCGTAAAGTTATTAGACCTCAGTTTACATACACCTAGTAAAGGGCTATAACAAGTTGTATATACATCACATATTCAGAAACAGTCACAGCTGGCTACATTTAAAAGTAATGCTACTCCAGACTATGAAACAGGCTGCTTATAAAATATAACCTACTGCTTCCAGTATGGTGTGATACAAAGCAGTATGATCTTGCAGAAGAAATTTTGTTATTTTTGCAAATGTGAGCTGCTCAGATTCAAGCCTGTCTCCTCCCCAAACCCACATTTTTGATCGACTGAGACCATTTTACAGAGAAGCAAAGCACCCAAGAGAAATCTGGCTTTATGTTTTTCTCCAAGATCACGGTATGACTGCATATCTGAAATCCTGTCAAAGCATTCGAGTAAGAAATATAAAGGCTCAGATGTTAACTTCATGACCAGTAAACATTAAACCATTACGAACCAGATGCAACCAAGTTAAATGCATCCAGCTTCTGTGCTATGGAAACTGTTTTTCCAGGCTGTTCCAGTGCAGAAGCCAACACATTTTTATTGAATCAGGCCCTAGGTAAAGATTTCCATCCCATTTTCAAGTTTTGAGCGATGGAACATTACCCATTCTGTACTCATTTCGCTGTAGAGGAGAAAAAAATACAGCCTGTGGAGCCTATGCCAACACAGCCCAGAATCCATTTACATAGTGTCATTTTCTTTAATGGGCCAGGAGGCAACCTGTGGTCAGCTTTATCAACTCAAATGGCTTCCACAGTTCTTCTTTGTATCAGGCATTGATTCATTTCTGATGAAAAAAAGGGTCCAGCTTTCTGTCACTGCAGTTTAGTTTAAGACTATGAAAAAGGTCACTTCAAGGCTATGGCTGAAGGAAAAAAAAAAAAAAAGAATATAATCTGATCTTGAAATATCTAGGGAAAAAGAAAAGTAGTCAGGGCCATAAAAAAGCAGACAGACAGCACAAACTAAATGTCCTCTGCAGAGTAAGTTAAAATACTGATTCTTGCAGAGAGTCACGTTACCCCTCAGGTCTCTCGAACTCACCGGGGCTGGAATTAGGCTTAGTTTAGTAGGAACCAGATTTCGTCAGAGAGTAGGTCACACTCAGCTCTGCACTGTGTTGACCACTCAGCTACATTTTAGGCACATTTCAGTTAATCTGTCGGATTGATCTGGGGAAAAAAAAATTATCAGTTAAATTTCCGGGGTGGCCTCAGCCAATTTCACCACTATGAGCTTGGACAAGATTCAATCACAAGCGACTGCCTTTAGAAGGGAAACATTAACTTGGTTGGAAACAGTATCATGAAGAGGACACAGCAGCCTCAGTTTCTAGATTCCAGTTTGTTATAAATCTTGATCTGCCTGATTTGTTATTTGTTTAGCAGCCTTAAAAGGTAAGGAGGGGCATCCTGAAATTCTTGGCTGTAGACTTAAAACCAGATGTAGTTTACATGGTGCTGCACTGATATTTGTTACATCTATTAAAAAAAAAAAAACAAAAAAAACCAAAACCAACAACACAACAGCATTTACATTCCTTTCAGCTGAAATAGACAAACTGTCGTCATGTCTGCAAAAACGCAGAGGAAATCGCCACTGCTCGAGGTAGAGCGTTAAAGCTTGGTCATGTTCCTCGGGCTTCCATGCGGCTTCCTGGGAAGGGCAGGGGAAGGAGGACAGAAAGGACTTTCACACAGTCAGGAGGTGACAAACGAGATGTCAGCTCCGTAAGGGATTAGGTTCCCTCACCCCATGCTGAAGGTGTATTCATGACCTTTCCAACCACGGCATTTGCGTATAGGTTACATCTCTCGCATACCCTTTTTAAAGCAACCCCTAAGAGCGTTGGCTTGGGAAGACACGGAGAAGAGAGCAGGAGTGGGGTTTTAAAGCTACAAATGTCAGTTAGGAGGCACAGTGTTATTTTTCCCTTTGACCATCCATGTACAGAGCTCTACGTTTCCACAGTCGCTTGCGCGTTCCTCCTGTGAAGCCCTGGCAGCAAAGGCCCCGGGTGTGCTCCTCCCCGTCGCGTACACCTCGTAACACAAGAAGTCGAATCCTTTGGACAAATCCTTCTACCCTCATGGACACGTGGCGCTCTTCTTCCTTAACAAGAGGTTTTAGTCACGAAACTGGATGCCAGACCTGATTTATAGCAATTATTTAACTAAGAATCCTTCTGCCACCCTCGAAAGAGCAACTGGGATATCCACTAGCAACATATACACATACATACAGATCTACACTATACACTCGGGACAACACAGAATGAGAATTCAGCTAATATAGCCTCTATTCGATTTCCTCAGAGCAGCACTCAGGTCCTTGCAATCCCTATACAAAACAGCAGTATTTTTTCCACCAGGATTTGGAGAGGTTTTTCATCTTGTCTGGAGTCCTACACTTGGATTTCTTTGGTTGCTGCTGGGTATCCGAGTACTGAATACCAGCCACGATGGCCGCATCAAAGACCTCCTTGAGGTTTTTCTGAGTCAAAGCAGAGCACTCGATGTAGGACGCGGCTTTTATTTCCTCGGCACAGAGCTTCGCAGCCTCCTCCGAGACCGGCTTTTCCTTGCACTTGTCCAGCTCGATGAGAACTTTGACATCCTCCCGGAGGTCCGACTGCGTCCCAACCAGGATAATGGGCGCCTTGGGGCAGTGGCATCGGATTTCGGGAACCCACTTCTCACTCACGTTCTGGAAGGACGAGGGGCTCACCACGCTGAAGCACAGCAAGAAGATGTCCGTGTTGGTGTAGCACAGAGGCCTGAGCTTGTCAAATTCATCCTGCATGGAACGAAATCGCGTTAGCACCCAACAGAAAGAGCACATCAACCCCGGTGGACGCCCCAATACGCTCCCAGCTCTGGCCTGCCACTGATCTTTGGGGAAGCTGAGGATCACCTGCTGCTGCCATCTCGAGAGGCACCTCAACACGAGCACCCAGCCCACCCGACAAGCTGTGTTACAACCAGAAGTTGCCTGTACCCAGCCTGAGGCCTCACGGCTGCTAGCCAGCAGGCACTCTGCCACCGTCGGGCACGCAGGACGAAGGTGGTGGCTTCCCCACGTAGCTGAGATTTTCTGACTAATGCCGCAGCTTGTTTCGAGTGCTTAAATATTTCCTTCGCTCTTTGCACACAGGCCCTCTGCCCTATCTCAGCAAAGGAGCAACGCCGCGGGAAGCAGGTTACGGCACACGAGCGACCGAGCCAAACATCGAAGCGTGGGAGAGAGAAGGCACTTTCTACAGGTCCACCTCTCACAGGGTGAGTCAGCGAGCCGCTCTGATGAGGAGCACCCTCAAAGCTGCTCTGCCAACACCCCTACCTCCAGATACAGGCAAGAGCAGAGCAGACAAGTGGCAGCAAGCGTACCTTTCCTGGAATCGGCTTTTAAACTGGTGACTACTTAACAACATCCTACAGGATATGGGAATAATTTCCCTGTCATTGTGCCCAGGGATTTAAATCTGATGGCAGCAATAACGACTCACAATGTGCAGGCTTAACATGCCAATGGCATAGAGTAAGAGCTTTACCTTTCCCTCCCACCCACGCCACATCAAACAAACTGCAAACAGGCCTCCCAGCGCTACCTTTCTTGGTTGTTTTTTTTCTCCTTTTAGTGCAAACTCCAGCAAAGCAAGGCCCTTTTTCAGCTTCAGGAACTAGCCACAAGAAAGCCAAACACCTCACGGTAACAAAGGCGTGCTGATCCTCGGCGAAGAATGCGGCAAGAAGCAAGGGTTAACTCCAGGCAGGCTGCTTTTATGCTGACAGCAGGATAAAAGCAGGGTAACACTAGCAGCCTGAACAGGTAGGATTTGCCTCAGCGGCAGTGACATTTTAATTAAAATGGTCCGTGTTCTCAAAAGCTCTGAATTGGAAGTGCAAAGAACACACACATCTGAAAACATCTCTCTGGTACCAGCAGTTTACTGCTGAATTGCAAGTCCCATGTTAATTTTCGAGATGTGAAATTTTGCTTTAACGCCTCTGGAGGCCCAGGATACGCAGTTTAAAGCCCCCTGGAAGCCTCAGAAGTCTCATTTAGTTGAATGAATTTCTTCCAGCAGTATCTCTGAGAGAGACAGCGATTTATAAAACACGAGTCAAGAAAGCAAGCTTCATTAGCTCTCTGGATTCTCAGATTAAGCCTCAGAGGAAACCAGGCTCTCGCCGCTTGGCTCGAGAGAAGCCCCGCACTTACTGCGAGCTGCTGCTCTGAATGACAGAAAGGCACCTCGCCATGGAATCGCCTCTTCTTGCTACGTGATAAACCTCAAAGGGCTCGATTCAATGTCGTTGAAAGCCAAACCCAGATCTTAAGGGTTTCTATCCGGATGAAACAGCGCCCTTTATATTCCAAGTACACTCCTGCAGTTTCAATGGTAGGTGCATGACCTGCAGGGACTCTACACCTCCTCGGGCTGGAGATGCTGAAATACAATTTCCCTCTGCCTGGAGTGCTTTTCTTGCTGCAGATTTCAGCAGCCATCTCACTGTTTTACCAAAGTATCCAGCTAGTCATCTGGGATGACTTCTGTTGATTTAGATAACCGCTTCATTTTGAAGGGAGTGACTCTACCCACTCCAGCTGCACTGGGGCAGCCAGAGCGAACATCTTAACCATTAACGGCAGCGAAGGCAAGAGGTGACTGGGCCTGCCCGTCCCTCCTGCAGCTTCTGGTTGCATTTCCACAGGTGCTGCCTGTCCACTGGCTGTCACCCGATGGCAATTTCACCTGCCACACTCTGCATGCAAACACACCCAGCCAAGGCTGTTGCGGTACCACGCCGTCCCTTCAGCAGGGCAAGAAATCATGGGACAGTTCTGCTGTTCTACTTCATATCCTTACCCGCAGAAGGCTGCTTGTAGGATTTTAGCTTTGGTTTGTAGGGCGCATGGGAGTCCTGCACTGCTGTCTAGGACTGCACAGCCCTTCAAACCCCTTTCCTAAGTAGGACGCCCAATTACAATTCACCTAAATAGGTTTGTATGTTAAGGCCACTGAGATTTTTCAGCGTGGTTTTGGTGAAGGCGTAGACCCAGATCCACAAAGCTGCGCAGGAACCTAACTCCCAGTGCCTTCAAACATGAGCTAGGTAGCGAAATACTTCTGGCTACTTTTGGCTACCCAGACTCAACCCCTGGCAAGCAGTGTTGCATGCTGCTCAGGGTGGTACAAGCCAGGGACTTGCAGAAAATATAAGGTGGTAAGAAATGGGTTCTTTTTATGTGTCACGCAAACTAGGAGCTGAGTGCCTCAGCCACCCTTGGCCCCTCAGGACTTAGACTACAGCAAACCTTGGCTTTGGGGCGGCAGCACTTTTTAGGGTGGTGGGAATGGCAAATATGAAGCCTCCACGGACAGCACCCAATAGGACTTTTTCCTCCCTTAAGCTTCTGCCCCTTCAAAAACACAGTCTCTATCTCCGGACACCTACAGCCGCGGATGCTTTGCATTCATACATCCCAAACACCATAATTCTTAGACTCGCAGTTACTTAGCAAAAATAAAGACAGCGACAACCGCTCAAAGAGAAAACCAGGTGGCCCTTGAATCCCCAGTATACTCAGCCTTTCTAGTCAGGCTAAGCAGAGCAGCAGCTTGAGCCAGCAGAGCAGCAGCCAGTGCCCAGCCCCTACGGGGAGGCACAGTACGTCCCCCACCCTTCCACAGGCACCGGGCAAAGCAGCGGGTTAAGCAGCAGCGAAAACGATAGCAGTTTAATAAGATGATCAAACACTGGGAGTCCTTTCAAATCCATGAAGTCATCAGCAGGACTACTTTGCGCAACAACTTCTCCCCTCCCGTTGTCACTTAAAACAAATAAGTGGCTTCACTGACCTGACCAGCTGTGTCGCAGAGCTGAAGTCTCACCGGCTTGCCATCGACAGACACGACAGCTTTGGAGAGAAAGGAGGAGGGAGGGGGGAAAGCGTAGTGAGTCCAACTTTACACGTTTTCCATTAAGGGGGGAGAAAAAAAAAAGAAAGGAAGGAAGATTTACCATCCCTCGGCTCTTTTAGTCTTCTCTTCAATTAGTTTAGATTTAACAAGCTAACAGAGCTGGAAGGGAGCCTGTCGCCAACTCAGGGGCACACACAAGCCCTTCAGGGCTTTCCGACTCACTTCTCTTCAATTAGTTTAGATTTAACAAGCTAACAGAGCTGGAAGGGAGCCTGTCGCCAACTCTCGGGCACACACAAGCCCTTCAGGGCTTTCCGACTCATCCCACCGCAAGAGCCGCGGCGGGCAGCGGCTGCGCTGTCCCTCGGCGGGGGGGGGGGGGGCGGCCCCCGCCCGCCCGGGC